AAAAGAAAAGAAAAACACACTTCCAAACCAAGTTTGAAACGTTTTCACATCTAATTACAATTAGTTGGCCAAATTTCAACCCTACAACAGTGACTTTTCTGCTAATTTCTTTATATACAATTTTCCTTCCCATCTTATATATATCTCATTTTCAATTTAATTAATTACCCAACACTTCCCACTATGAACACATCATTTAAACCGTCTTTCATTAACATTCCATACATAAAAATTATGTCATTAATATGTTTCCATAAACTATTTGGGTGGTCTTTTCTACAAGGTTCTAATTAAATTCATTGTACTTAACTAGTAATCAAAAAGGAGCAAATTTAACGGTATATTTAAACGTGTTTACAGTTTTAGAGATTGATTTTCGTCTAAAATGTCGTATTATTCACATTGCTAGAACATGTATTTCTTTAGGAAAACAAACCATTAATTTATCTACCAAACTTGTGTGTCTATATATATTGTTCAATACAACTTACTAATAAAGTCCCGTTAGTTTAACCATCTTTTTTTTTTAATTCAAATTCTTTCGCTCCACATTGTCTTCACCTAATTTATCCATAACAATTGAAGCAAGAAGTTAGGGAATAAAAACTCTTCAATAATATAAGTGAGTGATAGTCACATCAAATTCAACCAACCAACAACAACCTTGGTTACCAAAAATCCTCATTTTTCTTCCCTTTCCAATCCATCCCACTGAAGGTTTTTTTAAACGTGACAGACATGAAAGTGGAAATTTACCAAACAAAGTTAAAAAAATAAAAAATAATAAAAAAAGTTCAAAACTTGACTTCAACTTTAAAGAATGAATGTGACACAAGTCTGCCCCATATGAAGTGGGCGTCTGAAATTATTCCCAAAGAAAAGAAAAGAAAAGAAAAAACCTCAAGTCTTCTACGGCTACTTCTTTAAGGTAGATGATTAAATAAGAATGAAGATTTTGGCTGACCCTAATGATTAGGGTTGAATTAATTAAATGTCTCATCATTACATTGAAGTGTTATACTAATGTTTTGTTTTTAAATGTTATACTAATGTTTTGTTTTTTTGTTTTTCCTTAAATATTGTGTATTATAGGATTATTAAGGTGTGGGAAAAGTTGTCGGCTGAGATGGATCAATTACCTTCGACCTGATGTGAAGAGAGGAAACTTTACTCAAGAGGAAGAGGACACAATAATAAAGTTGCATAAAACTTGGGGAAACAAGTATGATCTATTTCTTCTTATATAATAACTAGAATTTTCTTCAGAAAAAAAATGGATAGAGTTTTTAAATAGTTTTTTTCTTTATTTTTTGATTTTAGGTTCTATCATTAACCATTTATATATTATATGTTAATTTATAAGTTTGGTTCATAAATTTTTTGGATTTTGTCAGGTATAATAAATCCTCGTATTTTAAAAGATTTTTTTAGAGGGGATTGCATTTAAAAAGTTGTGACTATCTAAATATGCATTTGTTATTAAAGCCTTAGTTTAACATATTTATGCAATATGTTGATTGTATTACTTAAGAAGTGAGGTTATTTTAGGCCTTTGGTGGCATAAACATAAAATTGGCACACAAATACCTCCTAAACATAGAATTAAAAGTCCAAGGTCTATATACATTTAAGAATTTTTTCAAAGTATAGAGATTAAATCCAGAAACTAAATAAACACAAAACTGTAAATTAAAGTTTGTAATTTAGATTGAGACAATTTGTTGAATTAAACAAATCTCTACCCATGCGATGCAGGTGGTCTAAAATTGCATCACGTTTGTCGGGAAGAACCGACAATGAGATAAAGAACGTTTGGAACACACATTTAAAGAAACGATTGTCGCAGTCGTCGGAGACCACCAAAGTCATCGTATCGGACAGCTCCGGTGACGAATCCAAAGAATCGTCGTCTCCGACAACTTCATCTTCTTCCTCCTCCAGCCAAACTCAAAACTCAGACAAAAACGAACCACCAAAGAAACAGCAACCTGAACAACAAACCAGCTCTTCCATTTCTTCGGAATCCTCGAACTCGAACTCAAGTGCTACTCCACCTGACATATTTTGGCCCCAAAATCCAATGGAATTGGATATGGGAATTGAGATCCCATTGGAGTGCGACATAGAATTTTGGAACATGTTAGATTTAGACAACATAGATCACTTGTTGGATCAGTCTAACGAGGTAGCTCATGGCTGTGTAGAAAACAACGGGGAACTCCAAAATGACAAGTGGTTTAAGTATTTGGAGAACGAGTTAGGACTCGACCGCCCGCCAGAAGTCGGTACCGATGAAACAACGGCGACAACAGCGACAACGACGGACGAGATTAATTCAGCTCAGAGATTGTTAGTAGACCCTTGCATTGCTTATTTTGCAGATGGGTTCCCTCAACAACCCTACACCTAAAAATAATCAATATAATATCTTTAAAACTACATGAGAAAAAAAATTCAAAATTTGACTTAGTTTATTGCTTTGAATATTTGGTAGGCTAAATCATTCCTAACTTCTTATTTACTACACACATCATGCATTTAGGGCTTTGAGCTTCATATATATAATGTAATTTTTGCTGATTACTTGGGCAAAAATTCATGTGTATTGTGAAATAAGGAATTTTCCTTTAAAAAAAAAAAAAAAACTTAGGCACCAACATTTGAAAGCTAGGTAAATTGAAATTGAGAGCTGAGTTGATAGATATATTGAATCAAGTTTGTCAAAAAAAAAAAAAAAGTTATGTAAATTTTAAGAATATACTTCAAATATATATCCACATTTATGTATTTTTTGGTTTAGTGGGATTTATATATTGTGACTGATTTTATTAAATTTTTGTTCTATCAACAAAAAAAAGAAATAATTTAGATGTCAAAGCCAGCATAGTTGAGCGGTAATTAATATATTTCTCTAACCAATAGGTTGTGAGTTCGATCCCCCACCTCTCATATTGTACTAGGAGAAAAAATAATAATAACTTAGATGAACTACTTTTACCTAAATTTTGATGACTTTTGTTAATAACTAAGAAAAATATATCACATACATTCTGTTCTAATTGGTAAATTTAAGTTTAAACTTTACATCTAATTTTAGTCATAGAATCTTTGACATGGATAATTCAGTTTAGTTCTATAACTTTTAAAGATTTTATTTTAGTATTCTCTAAATTAGTTCCATAAAATAATTCATTTTTTTCATTACTTAAACTTTTACTCCATTTAACATATATATTTCCTCAGTACTAAATAGGGTTAGGGTTAGGTGGTTGTCTTGTGAAATTTAATCGAGTTAGGCACAAACTGGTTCGAACACTCACGAACCTTAAAAAAAAAACTTCGAATTAACCACTCCCAGACACTACAAGAAAAGGTATACAAGAGCTAACAAAAAAATCCTACATCCAAATTATAACTGTTCTTGTACAAGTTAAGGTTAGAAACCATAATAATGAAATTAAGTATGATCGTCGATAAATCAAAATACAATTAAAACTATTTTATTTTTAGTTCAACAACTACGAGAGTGAAGTGATCAAAGAACCCATCGATCTTTAAAACAATTATATCATACGAATCCTATCGGTTATGTTCGATCAACAAAATATAATTCAAACATGAAGATATATGTACACTCGTCAAAATACATGGGCCCCACTTGAATTAAATGCATAACAGGTGACAAAATAAAATTCTATGGTGGGTTGAGGAAGTCTTTTTCGAAGAAATTCCAAGTCAAAGAACATTGGTTGGACCAAATATGAAAGAATTATACAAATGCAGACAATATTGACATGTGAACTAAGCCCCAATCAATGGCTTTGGCTTTAATAAATTTACACCAAACTTTACTCAAATTCTAATTGCTTCTCTCATCTTCACATAATTTGATTGAAATTTCACCACACACTTCATTTTCTAGCCTCTTCCTACCAAAAAAAGAAATGGTTGATTTTGCTCCATGAAAAAAAAAAAGTAATAATAATTGTGGATAGGTTTTAAAATCATGTTGAAAAATGAAAACATAGTTTTTTAAATGTTGAAAATTTCTGAAGATTTCATCATTTGATTGAAATCTCACCGTACAATCCAGTCAATGGTTTCTTTTGTTTAAAAAAAAATTAGGGTCCATTTGAAGATAATGATTTATTAATAGTTTTTTAATATAAAAATTTTAATTTTCAAAAGAAGTTTTCATGACTAAAAATTGGAGGAAATACAAACTGAGTATTAGGTTGTTTTCAGAATTTTCACATGGTTTTGTTGATGTCTTTTTATTTTCATTTTTATTTTTAGTATAACTTTGTAACAATTATGTGTAAATTTGACATATATCGTCGACATGCCAGAACTTAAAAAAAACACACACACACACATGGCACCAGCATGGTGCGATGAAACTGGAAAAGTATGAGGTGACATAGGTTGTCTCTTTTATAATTTTTCAAGCTTGGAAATAGTTTAGTGGGTGATATATATTTAGAATAAATTTAAAATAAAATATTATTAAAAAAATTCTGATATGAATGCATTATAATAAAATTATATTTTCAAATAGTTCTTATAATTGAAAAATATATACATATATATACAGTAATTTTAAAATACTAGATTTATTAAAATAATTTTTGTAATTATCGGTAAGCACGAATTCCTATTGAGGTGAAAAAATATATGTGTTTGTTTTTTTGGTTAGAAAATACAATATAAATTAAGAATTGTACAAGTAGCCAGTCATAATTGGTTTTTTTTTTAGTACAATCATAATTGGTTAATGGTTTTTCTTACGAAATTAAAAATATTATACATTTTAATAAAATTATTCAAAATAGAGTACTTTCTTAATATTTTAAATCAAATATGTTTTTTTTTTCTTTTTGGTGAGAGGTTACTTGTCTTCTAGTTATCTGAAAAAAAAAACACACAATTAGTAAAAATGATGAGAGCAAAAAACTAAAATGGAATAATTGTTTGAAATCATATCTCTAAGAACAAAAATTTTGGTAAAAGAAAAGTAAAGGAAATAAATTATCTCATTTTAATAGATACAAGTATAGTAAAAATGACACAAAATAACGGATGAAGTAGTACTCGAACAATTGACAATGGAACAAAAATTTAATTTACAACTAAAAATTGAATTTTCAACAAATTGTTTTCTTGAAAAAATGTATATAATTGAAACTATGTATTTTTAAAATTATCATATATTTCTAATATTGTTTGTAAATTATATGGTGGTTTTTGTTTGTAATTATGATGAGGTTGTTCACCTACAAAAATTAATTCATAAAACTCCTAACATTTTAAACGTGTGTAACTTATATGGTGGTTCCTCTTTAATTTCCACAATTTTTCAAATGGTAGTTCACTTGAAATAGACTACTTATATGTTAATTATTAATATTTCTTGTTTTTTTTCTTTCTTTTTATTAGAAAAATATATATATATATATATTTGATAAATATTTATTATTATTTGTTCTCTAAAATTTTAAATTTAAAAAATTATATGAAAGTTGATTTTTTAAATTAACATTCAAAATTTTTAGTGTTATATTTAATCTTTAATATTTGTTATGCATTTATAAGTAAAATAAAACAATGCTTCTATTTATTTTTTTTCTGAAAAAAACTGGAAACGAAAACAAGAAATAATAAATAATAAATTTGATTTTGTTATCTTTAAAATTTCTACCCAATTTTAAAAACGTTTCTTGAAAATGAAAAACAAAAAACACAAATATTATATTTATGTTAAGAAACAGAACATACCAAATGTGCCTTAAAACAATAGCAAAAAAAAATGAAAAAGAAAAATCATGATGCTAGTTGCAATATTTCGAGATATATAGATAATGTAAATGTCCGATTTATCGTAACGACTATACCTCTATATATATATATGTTGGACGAAAATCTTTTCTAAAGGTGACGATGTAACTGTTGAGAATTTGTACGAGATACATATATATACATACACATGCATACATATGTTTCGATATTTCGATATGTACCATAAAAACATTGTTGGAAATTTGCATGTACCATACAAACATTGAATTTGTTTATTTTTGTAAAATCTCAGTTCTTATTTATTTTTCCTTTTTTAAGATATTGAATTTGTTTTATGGTAAAGATCAAATAAAAACAGAGGTATGGGTTTCAATAATAAACCTAATAAAAAAACATTGGTTGTCTTTGTCATTACACAGAAATAGAATAGAATGTTTTAATTATTTTGTGGGATACTGATCATATGATATGATGACATTTTTTTTTTATTTTGTAACATATTTCTTTGGTCTAACAAAGTCCAATATAATCCCTTATTTGGTTATGATAATATATAATTTATTCTTTCTTTGAAAAATAATAATTAAACATTCTCTATTTACGAGCTGACTTCACCCTACCCACCACCACACCAATTTATATGTGTGTTTTGTTCTAATTTCTCATACAAATGTACATTTTTCTAAATGTAAAGTACCATTTTTTAAAAGTATCGTCAAAGATACGACACTTTTAGATTAATATTGTTTAAATGCATCAACTTTTTTGTTTAGTTCAATAACCAGTTGAACTATTTCAAGTTGCTATACACTAAATTTTAAACAAATAGTTAATTCTCTACGTTAACAACATAATTCATCTATAAAAAAAGACCGTCTTTGATACGACTAAAGTATTTTTGGACTATTTTTTACTAAAAGAAACTCTAAGATAAAAGTGAGAACAATTTCAAATATAATCGTAAACTAGCTACATCTATTACGTATGATCTTATTGAATTATTTATTTATTTTAGTTTATGTAAGTTTGATAACACGTGGGATGAGAATTAAATCTTCCAAATTTATTATTTTTGGTTCTCACAATTTAAAACATCAATTTTAATCCTCAAATATTCATTAGACTCCACATTTAGTCATAATACACATATTTATCGATTGACAAAAATTATTTGTATCATGTATTGTTAATGCAATTTGTATAGCGATGAGAAAAGGAAAAATCTCTACTTCTAGACAAAATTGAAGAAGAAATAGAAAAAGGGATCTGATTAGACCTTTGAAGAATATTTGTGCAATTTACAACGAAAAGAATATTCTTGGGTTAAGAGAGACTGTAATGTGTAGGACCAAAATTAATTATAATCTAATATCAAAAATTATATGATTAAACCTTTGAAAAATATTTTACAGTTACTTTTGAAGAAGAGATTGAGGACCAAAAATGATTAAACCTTGAATATTTTGAGAGGGATATATATATATCAACAAGTCTACTAATCAACATACAAGTGATGTTACATCATATCTTTATTGTGCTAAAGCTATGTTATGATATTGATGTAAAATTAACCCATGTCGATGGGTCTACCGATCCAAACACGTTCACATTGCATCTAAACCTCTACCTAGAAGAGGCAATAGCAACTGAACCACCAACACTGTCCTGTTAATGCCTTCTCTTTCTCCCGAGCCACGACATCGTCTGTGAAAATGACATCTGGACACATGTGAAAATTGTTTTGTTAACATATTTAGACATGTAGACATGCTATTTAGACATGTCACTTGGAAGAAATAAACTTTATTTATAATGTTTCATAGGTCGAGTAGCAGCCAAGAGACGTATTAAACTTAATAAGCTCTCAAACCTACTCCTTGAACCCGTCGTGAGTCATGATAGCTTAAGATGAGACGAGGATCACAAATACTAAATTATACAATGAAGGAGCTTGTTTGAACAGTGCTTGTAGTCGTACAATGCAAGTCAATTATCGAGATGATCGTCATTAGACAGAATAAAACTAGTGATGACATTTTTGTTACATTTTTCTACGGACTAACATTCTTACAAGTCCATCTAGCATCATCAAATAAAATGGAAAAACTGTACGGATGAAAAGAAAAGAAAGAAAAGTTTACCACTTTCATCTCTTGAATAAGAACACTGGCACTGGAGCTAGTGGCCGGTTTAACATCTGAAGCTTACAACAAATCCAATTCTCAACCGCCAAGTTGCTAGCGAATTTTTGGATAGTCTCCAATTCTTCCCTAAAAATTAGAAAATAAATTCATTACACATAAAAACTATAATTTCTGTCAAACTCACAAGCACGCATAGGAATTGAAACCAAGTCCATGTTGCATGACAGGTTATTTAAATCGCCAAGAAGTGATATCCCACAGTTTGTTTTAAAGAAAATAGGGATATAACAAGTTCAGAGATTGAGTTACTGGCTATGTTCTCCAATTAAAATGAAAACAAAGCAGGGATTTATCCTTAAAGTAACCTATTCCATCAACTTCTAAAGCCAATTTTTACTGATCACAGAATAAGATAGAATAGGCACTGGTTGATGTACTACATTTAGGCTAGAAAAATAAACATGGATTGCAGTGGAAAGAAAAGTAGGAGAAGAAGTATTACACTCCACCAGGATGCCCCACATAAACCACAAGGCTGATAAGCCCTCCAGGTTTTAGGATTCTGTTGGCAGCTTCGAGTGCTTGTAATGTAGTTTCTGACTTTGTGGTTATTGCTTTGTTACCACCAGGTAGGTAGCCTAGGTTAAATGCAACAAGCCTAAAAAGTAGAGGTGCATGCATTAATTAGTTATATCAAATCACAGAACCATTTGATTGAATTCTTTCTTTTTCTTCCTCGACTATCTTAAATGAAATACGTTGTTCCAAATTCACACTACTAGTGTCAATTGCAAGAAAATATGGATAGGTTTCAATTACAATGATAAATCTGGTTCATGTACAATAAGCCACAATTACTAAGCACCAAAATGTGGAATCATTACCTAACGGGGGAACCCTCTGGAATGACATCTTCCATTCTGCTGTGGCAAATGGAAGAGAGTTTAACAAGTTTCTTCTACATAAAACTAGAAACTATAAGCACTTAAACAAACATTTCTAAAGATAAAATGCAAAAATTAGAAGGTATGATGATCTGTTCTCCCCCTTTTTGGAAAATAATTGATAAAACTAAACTTAGAGGAGAGCAGTTTCAAGTCACAAGTAATTGGATCACATACAATCAACATGTATTACCCCGCTAAAGAATCTTTAGACTATATAAAACCATCAAAATAACAAATTTGGGCCGTCGTTCATTTCCATTAGTTTGAACAAGTTCAAGGCTGCATGTGTACAAGAAGAAAATCATGGATTTCTCTAAAATGGAACTGACCAATATTAGGATACCTCTTGTTCATCGAGTGACTCTTCCAGCAATGCGGAAGTCTTTGCTAAAGCCTCTTTCTGAACATCCATAGCATAAACACAACCAGAACCAGATTCATCTGCAACCATTTTGACCATAGCTAGAGTATCATAACCATTTCCAGAAGTAGCATCTACCACCGTATCCCCTCTTCTGATGATATGTTTCCATACACTGATGGAGTGATGGATAAAGGACAAGGTAATTAATATCCAGCCATGAACCTTTAATGTTCCTCATCACAAAAACAGAAGGAAAACAACAACTATCAACTAGAAAGCCTAGGACTCTCAGCTCACTTTGATTGAAGTTTGGTCTTGAGCAAGGGCTTAACATGCTGCAAGAAACTAGTGAACTACCTATAATACAAAATCTTCTGGAGAACAAAATGGCAGAAGCCATGATGTACTTCTGTGTTCGAAAAAACAATATAGGCTTAAGATCAATGCCATACAGCTCAAACAAAGATCATTGCATTCAAAAAGAGAGGCTAGTGAAGAACAAAAGCCTGAAAACAAATAGAAAACATTCAGACATGCCAGCATATGTAAATATATGCACAAAAAGTTGGCTGATGATACATACGAGTGAGCAACTTCTGTCGCTCTCTTCTTTCCAATCATGTAACCGACCATGACATCCTCCAGTCCTAAACCACATCATCCACAATTTCACAAGAAAATATCAAGTTCCAATAGAAGTGGTGAAAAACAATAACACAATATCCTCAGTAAACCAGTGCATATTGTTAGATATTTTAAGATTATATATTTATTATTTTATTTTATGAGTCAATTCACTCTTCTTAATAAATAGGAGAAAGTAGTTACAGACTGGTTAAACTTATACTTCCTAATAGGGTACTTTGTTATAAAAGGGTCAGCATATGATGGTCTAAAATAGAGTTCACAAAGTGTTTTCCAATATAGTTTTCCACAAATAATTTTTCTAGAATTTGTCTTGAGTATTATGATTTTGAGCATAGGAATTCCTAGGAGAATTTAGCTGCTATAAATCTCTAAAAAGATTGTTGTATCTTCAAAGTGGAGTGACTCAATCTATAATTTACAGGCTTTTAATTATCTCATTGATTAATTAAATTAATTATTTGTATGTATTATTTCAGAAATTCTTATACCCTAAATATATTTCCAACAAGTACCCATCCCAATAATCAAAATCAATACCCCTAGCTACTGAGATAATTAAGGAAACTGATAAGCCAATCCCAAATGAAAGAATATATTTACATCAGATTTTCCAGATATAAACAGAATAAAGTGAAAATGTACCTTCTAAAGACGAAAATTCCTTCGACGACGATGGTGAAGAGAACTCAGTCTGGTATTCAAAAGATAGTCCATTTGACTGAATACAGTTAGAAGAGAACCACAGATTTCTGAAGTGCCTTTGACGTCTTACGACTGGTTTGGGGGTAGTAACAGCAACCCCTTTTAACCCAAATTTCAGAGACAACATATTTTCCCTATCTTTCGGATTTTCTTCACCGGAGACGCTACATCAGCATTTTCCGGGAACTTATTCCGCCGGGGAAGGGAAGGGACGATGATCCAGAGCGCAGAGTTATTTCAAGGTTGGGCAGCCCCAATGCGAGCCCACTTATTCACTTGATGGGCTTTGCAATTAAGCCTAGTAACCAGAACATTCTAGATCGTATTCATGGCTTTGCAATTATTTATGGGCTTTCTAATGGGCTATTAAGATAAGCCACAAAGTCCCATAAATGCCCTTTCACACATTTTTATAGAGAAGTTTTTGTGGTGGTGGAGTTGCTTTTGGATGTAATTCTTAAATAATATAATTAGTTTGCATTTCATTCATAAACTCATATATATTTATTAAACACAAAATTAAAAGTTTAGAAAACTTATTCGACAAACTTTACGAACATGTAAGAGATTAAGTTTAACTTGATATAAATAAGATACCTATTACTTTCTTTAAAGTTGAATGTTCGATATCCCACTGCTACAACTTTATATTTATTATACTGAAAAAAATATTTAAAATAACATAATTTAATAGGAACATCCTTAAATCTTTCACGACCCGTTTTGTAACGTTCTTATTTCTTGTTACCAATTTTCTTAATAAATTTAAGCACTTTACAATTAACTATTTTCTTGTTTCTCCTCTCCAATTTTCTTCTTTTTTGTTTCCATTTCTAATTTTTTACTATAATGAGTCTGTACTATTCGTTTTTATTTATTAATAAAAAAACAGAAATAAAAAGTAAAAATATTGGCAAACAAGCAAAATAATAATTTTCCTGAGAAAAATATTTATAGGATAATTGAAAGGTCAACATTATGTCTCCTCCGTTTCTAGAGGACCGGCCACACGCAGCAATCGCCTCTCTTATAAGCAACCTTTGTGTAATTTCAACTTCAATGGCCTTGTCCAATCAGATTCGAACACGTAGTTCAAATTCTTTCTTTCTTTTTCTTTTTCTTTTTTTTTTTTTTGAATATTACGTAGCACAAACTCTTGCTGCAGCAAAAAAGGAGACAGAATTGAAGCATCCCAAATTTCAAAATCCCTAATTACATAATAATTAAATTTAGATAATAATAATAATAATATCGAATGTGGTATTGATATTTACGCTGGATCCTGCCCCCTTCCTTCTGGCCCTGCCAGACAATCAGAACTCCAAACTCCAAATCCGACCTGTCGCTTCCCCTGGCACTGATATTGATTATTTTATATTATTATTTGTTCATTACTTATTATAGTTTGGCCAAAAGACATTTGTATCCCTACACCGAATCCAACAAACCATTCGGGACTTGAAGATGATGATGACCTGTCTGCCACCTCAGCGACAGCATGTAGTCCACGGTATGGTGATGGTGGGTGTAATGAATGAACGGCCAAGTTTTTGAGAACGACTGAAACGCACCGCTTTGAAGTGTTTTTCTTTGTCTTCTCCCACGTACGAGACCAAGCACGCTCCAACAAGGGCGCTCCTCGTGCCACGTCAAACCATTTTTTTACCAAATACTGTCCAAATATTTATTTTTTATATATAAATTATATATTTTGGTTTTTTGTAATTAATAATTTAATTTTGAGTCAAAAGCAATGTAAATGGATCCACCTGGTTGCTTAATTTTATTGAACTCTTTCCATCTGTGTGGTGCTTCTCTATCACAACCCAACTGTTCCGTTACACACTTGTTTATATATAAAAATTCCCTTTTAATTTCTCAACTTTCCAAAATTATCTCATTTGGTTATTAAATATTTAAAATGTACATTTTTTGGTTCAACAAGGTGTGGGTCGCACTTCTAACACTCTTAACTTATTAAATTATGTTCAAATTCTTTTTCAAAAGGTATATTTTTAACTTTTGACTTGTTTTTAGTTTTTGAATTTTGAAAATAATTTCTATGAAGGTTTGTACTTTTTTGTCTTTTAGCTAATGGATGCTTGTGAATTGAAATCTTAGTTAAACATGTATTAGATAACTTAATTGATCAATTGTATATTATCGAAAGGTTGATGATTCAAATCTTGCTTCTCCTTGTTAAACTTGAAAAAGAAAAATCACACTACTTAGTTAAGATAAGTATTGAGTAATTTAAATTATGTGACAAAATAATGTCAAAACTTACTAATTATTTTTAAAAATTGAATGATAAAAGAAGACAGTTCAAAAACCAAAATAAAATCATCTTTAAATTCTACATTCAAAATGATATACTTGAAAAATAATAATAATAAAAATAAAAGGAAGTCTTTCCTTTTTTCTACGCTAAACTAAATGTAGAATTAATTGTATAAATGGGAAGAGCTTGAATGAGAAAGACACGTGGAGTTATTATGTGAGACGTCTCATGGACGGTTGTAAACTGCCAATGACGTTTTTGCCCCTCATTGGAAGTTTATTAATTTTTTTTTTTTGATCAAGGAAGTTTATTACTTAATTGATATATATATATATATATATATATATATATATATGTGCAAGTTTTCACTTAAAGGAAAGCTAACCTTAATTTCTGGAATTTCTTTATCCCGAATTTACCCTCCGTTTTGAAGCATATTGACTTCTTGTGCCCAAGTTCTTGCTCTTGCCACCTTAACCTGGTCTATCACCTTTTCAGCCTAATACATTTACATTATTGTCCCTTTCTCGAATATGGGTGTTCAAAAAATCTGAATCATGAATCTAATCCCCATATGATTTGGGTTGGATTGTAAATTTGTTTTCGTCTCAATTTATTAATAAATGAAAACTTTATAGATTGAGTTGGTTAAATGATTCATTCAAAATACATTTGATTAACCAAAGCATCTTAAACTTATTATTAATTTTAGAATAATTTATTTTACTTACCACAAATTATATATAGATATATTTATTCTAATTCGTATTAAAAAAAAAGATGAATTTCCCACTTACACCGTGGATTAAAAAGTACACAACGCTAACTAATTTGATATAATATTTAAAACATGTGATGGTCATTTTGATCCATGGTACATGTGATTGCAAAAGTACTTTTTTTATTTGAAAAAAAAATAAATTAAAGATTGTTTAGGACCTCAAGCCAAATTCTACCAAGTATCGTAGAGCAACGTGCATTAGGTCTTAGCGAGTAGGTTGGAGAAGGAAGGTTTGGACAAACAGGTAGAGCAATCTGACAATTAAATTAATTTTGAATATGAGAGTTGGACAGATCAACTTCAAACAAATTTGTGTACACGATAGGACAGAGTGAAAGTGTATTTATAGGAGATAAATGAGCAGTACCGATCAAACTATATAACTATTCTCCAGGTAAGTGACCTGCTCATTATTATCTGGAGAAAGTTGTTGCTCATGTCCACATGAGGTTCGATGTTCAATATTTTGAGCACAAACCATGTGGCTTGTGGCTCGCCTTCCAACAAGATTTGTCTTGTGACGTTCTCGTCTCTTGTTATATATATATATATATATATATATATCAAATGCATGATACCTTATGTCTACGAGTAGGATATTTTTGGGGCAATATCTCTTTCAATTCTTCAAAGTACTATTTTTTACCCATCACTATTTGTCTTATTATTATTTTACGGATCATATATTATTTTGCAGTCATTAAATATGGATTATACACAAGTGGCATTAGTATTTAAAAATTTTGCATAGTTCATTTCCATTTATGATTTCCTCGGTCTTGATGGAAAAAAGACGAAGTTTCTGACATCCAGACAAGTGCCACGTGGAGCCACGTCATTCGCAAATAAATATGCTAGGTAAATTATCCGATGCGTTCAAACCTACCTGAGCCTGAGAAAAATGATAGAAACGTTACCGCACCGTCCCTCGCCAGTGGGTCCCACGCAAGGGCCATCCAGATTTTTTCTTTTTTCGGGTGATCTTCCGGTCTCAGTAATGCCACGTGACTTACGATCACGTGAAGCCACCGTGGACGGTCAGTTCATCGTCCGGCCTCAATAACGTCACGTGGCGCACGATCACGTGCGACGAAGCCACCGTGGAGGCAGGCAGTTGCTTATGGTGGAACTTGTAATTTAGTCAACGCGGAAAACAGTTTGAAGGGTAATGGCATTATCGTAAAAATATGGTTAAATAGGGGCATTTAGGGAAGCTGGTTAAGGGCTGCCTGCTTCTCGTTTGACTGTTGGTGAAGAATATTTTATTCGCGGCTTCGTTAATTCGAAGGAAGAGGGAAGAGAATTTCGAGTCATACAGCAAGAACATCGAGCTTCCGATTTCATTGTATCGAGCGAAAAGGAGTTGAATCTGTTGAAGAAAAACTGAAGAAAAAGGTCTCTTTATACTGTTTTTTGTTTTTGTTTTTGTTTTTGTTTTTGTTTGTCTCAAATCAGAGGCTGAAAGTGTTGAAGAGAGTGAGTGTACTGAGGAGAAGTCGAGGAAATTTAATTCGTCGACCTTCTCGTGGAGGTAGTACTGTTGCTTAGTACTCAAACCTTCACGGGAGGTTTGAGACATGGTGTTTCTTCCATGGTTTGCTCTGCAAATTCATCAGGTACTCCGATTCAATTCGTTTCTCTTTTTAATGTGGATCTGGTTGAGTGCTTGATGATCTGATGTTGATTTGTGTGACAATACTTTTATTCCAGTGAGATTTATGCTCGTTTAGCGTGTATGTTGTGATAATTTGGTTTTGGGGTTCGATGAATCTGAATTCTACTGTAAACCTAACGAAGTGTTCATGATCGTGAAGTATACGGTGTGAATGTATGGGTTGAGGCGGTTAAATCTGGTCTAGTTCTTTTGTGTTGACTTCGCAAGAACACTCCAGTATTACGTTATGATTTTAATGGATTGAGTTGGCTCTGAATGTACAGATCTTAAGTTTTTGTTTGACTTCAATGAGCTGAAGGAAATAGATAATGCAAAGTATTTATGAATCACTTTGTGGATCAAGAATTTCAAGAAAACCGAGAGTTTCTTTGGTCTATTGAAATATTGCTCATGTCCTTAATTCTCTTTTACATTGTCATTCATATGAAAATATCATAGACAACGAAAAAAATTAATGTTGAAATTATTGAAATTTATAAAACAATCATATATATATTTAATGTGTCAGTGTGTCTGTGCTGTACTTCTTTGATTGGAGTGAAGAGGTTACTTTAGTGATGGATTGCTTAGTAGCTTTGATGGTCTGTATATGCCTTCTTATGCTGCCAATTCTTCTCCAGGATCTAATCTAGCAAACAAACTACAGATCTATTGCAAGGACCTATATGTATCTCATCTTCATATCTGGAAACTTCAATTTTTTTCTATATCTATTGTTTGCAAATCAGTGTGCTTCAGCCAATTTTGACATACCATTTCTGGTATTCCAGGGCTAGCAATCTGATTTTCAAGCAAATTTTCCCTATTGGCTTTTGACTGGTGTAGCTGATTCAAGTTTGGCCGAGTTAACTATAAAGTTACCAAAACATGATGATATGGAACAGTCGAGAAATGACCAGTTCCAGTGCACTTCCATGCAATATGGATTTGGGGAACTCCAGCCTGTATCTAAATCATCCATAGGGGACCCTGTGAGCATTGTTAACATGCAAAGTGATGGAAGAACCATGGACCTTAGGATGTCAGAGGTTAAGCCTGTCCTTCATTACTCCATACAGACAGGTGAGGAGTTTTCTTTTGAGTTTATGCGCGACCGAGCAAATTCCCAGAAACCTCTCATTTCAGACTTGGTTAGTGACCCGAGTTGTGCTTCGGGTTATATGGATTTAAAAGGAATTTTAGGCCTTAGTCGTACTGGATCTGAATGTGGATCAGATATTTCAATGGTTACTTCAATGGAAAGAGGGTCAAAGGATTTTGAGCGAAAAAACTCATTATCACATGGAGACAAAAGCAACCATGGATCAGTTCATCACAAATCACGCGAACCATCAGGATATGATAGTGGTCGTGGAACTGGTCGTGGCTATGCTTCTTCTGGAAACTCTGATAGCTCATCAGCAAAGATGAAAATCCTTTGCAGTTTTGGTGGGAAAATTTTGCCTCGTCCAAGTGATAGTAAGTTGAGATATGTTGGGGGTGAAACACGCATCATTCGGATAAAAAAGGACATCTCTTGGCGGGAGCTTATGCAGAAAACATCATCAATCTATAACGAAACATATGCAATTAAATATCAGCTTCCTGGAGAGGATCTTGATGCTTTGGTTTCAGTTTCTTGTGATGAGGATCTCCAGAATATGATGGAGGAGTGTAATGAATTCAAAGATGGAAAAGGATGCAAAAAACTCAGAATTTTTCTGTTTTCCATGAGCGATTTGGATGAAGGGCAGTTTTCTATGGGTAATGTGGACAATGACTCTGAGATCCAGTATGTTGTGGCAGTCAATGGCATGGATAGTGGTACTAGGAAAAGCTCAAACCTGCATGTCTTAGCAAGCTCTTCTACCAATAACCTGGATGAGGTAGATGAACAGAGAATTGGTGTTAATGCATCAGCCTTAACTGGCAATATTGCGTCATCATCCATGCAATCTTCACAACCTGTTCTGGAAACTGCTTCCAATGCTTATGAAACCTTTGTACAGACTTATCATGAGCATACAATGGATCATGAACCAAGGGAATTTCGCCAAAGTCATGATCTGCCTCATTGCTCCCCTCCTGGAGAATTGCTTTCGTCATCTCTTCATGAACTTGTAAACCAGCAGGGGGTTTTTCACGAGGGTCAAGGACAGTATCCAGAGATACCATCAGCACAGTTGAAAGCTAAGTTAAATGATTCATATGAGAAAGAGATTCATCCTGAAAGTGGCCGCTCTTCAAATCTTTCTCACTTGTTTGATGGCAACCCGATGACTTATAATACTTCTGATAAAAACTCAACTTCGGTTTCCATGGCTCAAGGCGAGTTTCCCTTCTTAACCCCCAAGAATGAGAAAGTTCTCCAGGCTTCTGAGGGACTTTCTTCAATGCCTGTTTCTGGAAATCCTATAGTTTCTGGATTAAGTGATATGGATAACTTGACATCAAATGCTTATACTCATGGTTATACGGACAGTGAATCAAAGATCGTTGATTTGAGTCTCCTTGAGCCTCCAGCTGCTGCACAAAGAGTGTATCGCTCTGAGAGGATTCCTAGAGGCCAGGAGGAGTTATTGAATCGTTTATCAAAGTCTGATGATACGCATGGTTCCCAATTTTTTATTCCTCATTCTCAGTCTGATCACGATCAGATTCCAGAATCCATCCTCAAATTGCAATATAGCAGTAATTGCGAAGCTGAAAACTCCATTCCCATGGAGAAGCCATCACATGCTGCCATTAAAGTGGAGGTTGTTAAGGCTGAATCAGAATTACCTGCTCTTGGGCAAGTATCTTCTGTAAAGAATCACGAGGATTCTGCATTGGGTCTCTTGCAGCTCAACTTGGGTGAGGTTGTTGGCATGAGGTGTACAGATAATAGTAGTCTTAAGCAATCTCAATCAGTTTCTAAGGAAGAAAGTCTAATTAACGTTAATGAAAAAGCATCTGCAGCTAATGTTTCCAAACCGGTGCAGGGAGACATTGTTATAGATATTGATGATCGATTTTCTCGTGATTTCTTATCTGACATATTCTCCAAAGCAACACCTTCTGAAGATTCATCAGATATTAGCAGCCAGCTTCACAAGGATGGAACTGGTTTGAGTCTTAATGTGGAAAATCAGGAACGTAAGCACTGGTCATATTTCCATAATTTGGCGCAAGAAGAGTTTGTTCAAAATGATGTTTCTCTCATTGACCAAGACCACATTGGTTTTCCATCTGCTCCAAAGAATGTTGGAGATGATTTTACACCTTTAACAAATATGATTAATGCAGATTCCCAGCTCAATTTCATCGAAGATAACCAGAAAGTGTTACATGGGATAAATGGAAATGACACTACCAATTTTCTTTCACGTTATGATCATTCCCAACTGAATGGTACTGATAGTTCGCAATTTGATGCTATGATGGAAAACCTTACGACTTTAGAGTGTGGGCATGAGGTACTCTTCAGTTATTATTATATTTCTACATTCCTCTGTTTTTATTAGAATATTGACTCATAAACTGGGATGATTTTTAACTGAAAATTTATCCTCTTCTCAGGATGGTAAGTTAGAATCTAAGGACATTGGCTTACCTCCTCACGATCCTTCTTTGGGAGATTTTGATATTAGTACATTACAGGTCTGGTTCTTTGATGCTATCTAATATATGATTTCCTCTTATGCTGCCTGTAAATCACTGCTTCTACCCCTCTATTCTTTATGCACCGGTCCTGTAAAACCATGTGCTTTTCCCGATTAACTCTGGTTGCTTAATTTGAATATGAGGTCAAATTCGGATAGATTGGCTTCTGTTTATCACCCCCTTGTTCTTTCAATCTATGCTATGTTTTGCACTTTGCTTACCTTTTGCATGCACATATTAGATCATAATGAACGATGATCTTGAAGAGTTGAAGGAATTGGGTTCTGGTACTTTTGGCACTGTCTATCATGGAAAGTGGAGGGGAAGTGATGTCGCGATCAAGAGAATTAAGAAAACCTGCTTTATGGGTCGATCATCAGAGCTAGAGAGATTGGTAATTTTGGTTTCAGTTGTTTATTGCTACTGCATTATTGTTGTTGTGATTACTATTACTATTATTTCTGACATTTCTCAGCACATCATTACTTCCCTGCATTTATTGGGGAGAAGAATCAAGAAATTATGATGCTATGTCATGATGTTGTTTTTTGCTCTAATCGTCGGTATATTTATGGTTTCTATTTGGGTTGCCATCAAAACCATAATCTTTTATTTCTCTTTCTCCCACTATAGACTGTAGAGTTCTGGAGGGAAGCCGACATTCTTTCAAAACTTCACCATCCCAATGTGGTTGCATTTTATGGTGTTGTGCAAGATGGTCCTGGTGGAACATTAGCTACTGTGACAGAGTACATGGTTGATGGTTCCCTTCGACATGTTTTGCTTTGCAAGGATAAGTAAGACCCCAGATGTTGTTTCCTGGTTTTGAGTTCAGTATATTTGGGATCTATCCAGATAAAAGGCAAAATTATATCATTCATTTAACGACTAAATTGATAGTTTTAAAGAAATGAACTTTGATTATGCTCAAGTTTATATCCCGTATGTTTATCAGTAATTCACTTTTACTTTATGTGCACTTTGCTTTCATGAATCATCATCATTCTTTTCTCATTTTACGTATCTTAAAATTGCAGATACCTTGATCGACGTAAGAGGCTAATAATTGCAATGGATGCTGCATTTGGGATGGAATATTTACATTCAAAAAATATTGTGCATTTTGATCTGAAATGCGATAATTTGCTGGTGAACTTAAAAGATGCTCAAAGACCAATTTGCAAGGTAATCTTGAGGTTGCTTAGGCTATTTTCTTAATGTGTATTCATTTAAGATATAATGTTTTCTATGCACGTGAGTCACTTTCTATTTCAGGTTGCTGATTTTGGCCTCTCAAAGATCAAGCGAAATACCTTAGTTTCTGGCGGTGTGAGAGGAACTTTACCGTGGATGGCACCTGAGCTGCTAAATGGTAGCAGCAGTAAGGTCTCTGAGAAGGTGATGTAACATGTTTCATTCTTTTATTAAATGGACTACTGTGAAATTAACCAGAAGTTCTCTGTGATTTCTGCTACCTTTCGGATTCATAGAAGTTTACCATGGCATGGAATTTCTTAGTTTCTTCAATTTGACAGTCTGAAATTTGCATGATTTGGTTTCAAATTTAAAATGCTCGTCTTTTTAGTGGGGATACAAGAAACATGAGTCTCTATTTGTACACACACAGACATTAATATATTATATGAGGTTGCTTAAGAAATAATTCCAAAACTAAGTAGTTAGTTGATGTATTGTTGATGCATTGAAATAACATGGATACAAAACTCTAAAGCGACTAGTTTTGATATACAGGTTGATGTGTTCTCCTTCGGTATTGTTCTTTGGGAGATTCTCACAGGAGAGGAGCCATATGCCAACATGCATTACGGTGCTATCATAGGTGCGAATATCTAGACTTTTAACTTCTTTCCTGCAAGTTAAACTTCCATCTCCATATTAACTTGCGCACATGCTGAGCTTTCTTCTCCATCTCTCATATATCAAACTGAAAAAGAGAACTGATTAGGATCTATAGGTGTAGCGTGCGATTCGAAAACACTCGAGATCAGTAATCTGAGTGATTTTTTATTGTCCCAAAGACGAAACTTGATCTCTGGATCTCTCTCCTTATGTGCAGGGGGTATTGTGAATAACACATTGAGACCAACCATTCCAAGTTACTGTGATGCTGAGTGGAGAAGGTTGATGGAACATTGCTGGGCCCCAAATCCTGCAGATAGGCCATCCTTCACAGAAGTTGCCGGCCGCCTACGTGTCATGTCGACAGCTGCCAGCCAAACAAAAGCACAAGGTCCCAAAATACCAAGGTCATAATCTTTCAAATGGATTGTTTGCTTATTATATATTTGTTCATTCTATTCTACAGTCTTGGAAGATTGTGTGTATTTTTGTCAATAGAAGGTAGATAAATGTTTTGGTGTGAAACATACTGTTGAACCTTAAATATAATTCTTTATTATAGTTTATACAAAAACTGATTAAAGAAGGTTAGGGCGTTGATCTTAATTCTACTTTCAGGAAGGTCATAAATTGAATTCAGGTATCAATTCATCTACTTGCTTGAATTATTTAATTGTTAATGTTATTAAACTTTAGCTTTTTGGTCTGTCGTGAAAATTATATACGTATGATCTTAGTTATTATTTGCAGGCTGTATGGTATTTTAAATTAAAATTTTCACCGTGAAATTTAAAAGATGCTGAAATATTCAAAGTGAGGTTTTAAAATTTTAGGAGCAAAAGATTGAAGAAAAAAAGATAATTGAAAGTTCATGCCTTTATATTATTATTCTCTCCTTCCCCACAAATCCTAAAAGGGAAATTTTCGGTTTTCACAATAGTAACCTACAAATTATTTTCTAAAACCCATAAGTAACAAAAAGCTAAAGTTTTTTCATTCTTTAATTGAAAATATATGCAAGGAATTTTGTTACAATTACAACCCACCTTTTACCATTTTACTTTAAAAAATTTTCTCGTATGAATCTCTTCATAGGCATAAAAGCGAAAAGAGGCGAAATAATTACACATGTATTAAAAATTAAGCAAAATCAAAATTGTGAATCTGGAAAATCGGTGAGATTCAATACAACTGCCAAAAACTACTCGGAAGTTTTTTCTCTTCTCTTTTTGCTTCTTTTCTTCTTCTTCAACAATCCTTTCTCCGCCAGTGTTTTCTGTTTCTGTTTTTTTCGTTCTTTCACTTTCTCCTCAAATCCATCATCCACCATCTTCATTGCTGCCACACGTCTAGCCTTGTAAACCTGCCAACAAAAGTTATAACCTTAATTTAACTAAATTCACTTTTGATTTGCTGACAAACAGTGAAAAAAATCATATCTAATTATCACGAAATTTGTATACTATTTAATAAAATTATCGGTAATGTGGTTATTTCATGCATAAACAGCAAGAGCTGCTCAAGCAGTGTTCCATCATACGCATCACTGCCGTTTAGTCCAAACTATGGCCATTACAAACGAGAGAGCCAAGAAAATTCATAAGATTTAGACCGGAACAAGTTTCTAGACTTGTCAGATTATGATAGTTGATCACAAACAACGCTAGAAAAACTGTGCCTCTAGATGATTCCCTCAAAAATAGATGTTATCATGCACAGAGTGACAAAATAATAAACTATTTTGGCTAAAAAGAACTCCATGATGTACCAATTGGAGCGCGGGAACTTTTTCACTCTCAACATGAATTCAACTTGTGATATGAAAGAAGTAGAGCCTAGAAAGCATTCAGCACTTACTTTTGTAATATTTTCAAGCACCTCATTCTCCTTGCATTCAAAATTTTCCAATTGCTTTCCGACAACAGCCTCTATTTCATGAATAAGCTCGACATCATTCTGCAAACAAACAAAAGAACAAAAACAAAACAAAAAAAAAAGCTTTTAACGTTTGATGCTGAATTGATCTCCAAGACCTATCGAATTAGATACTTAAAATTATCCACCACATTACTCACTTGGGTGATAAAGCTCACAGCCAATCCTCCTCTGCCTGCTCTTGCAGTACGTCCTACACGATGGACATAATCTCTTGGAAACCTGAATTAAAATGTTATTATATTTATGTCACAAGCATTCATGGAACACTTTAACTTAAGCACATGAAATCAATTACAAACCAACCTTGGAATATCATAATTGATAACAAGATCAACTGTTGGAATGTCCAAACCCCGACTGGCAACATCAGTTGCAAGCAATACAGGAACTTGTCCTGATTTGAATCGATAGAGTGCAGCAAGCCTCTGAGACTGTGACTTGAATGAATGCAATGCTGCCACTTCCTGATCAAGTTCTTCAAGTAACAGTCCCAAAAGATGACAACTTCTGCATACAGTTATAAAAAATAGTAGACACCAATTTTAGAGAGAGCGGTAACAGAAATCAACAAATTAATGAATTAGTTGTAAGAGAATAAGCCATGCCTGCAAGTTTGCACAAATATGATTGCTGAACGAATACCCATGTCTTCCATTTTAGACAAAATATGTAGTAAATATACATCCTTCACGTTCTTTGGAATAAATACATATTGCTGCTTGAGCATTTCAACTGTCTTGAAACCTTCATAAGCCTCATAAAAGTAAGCCTTATTTGCAGAAAGCTCAAGCAGTGTTTCCAGATCTTTAGTCATTGTTGCAGAGAATAATAGAGTTTGACGGTTACGTGGCAAGCATTGAAAGATTACTTTCAATTCCTCTTCAAAGCCAACATCCAATACTCTATCTGCTTCATCCAAAACTAGGAACTGAAGAATAAAAAGTTCATTAAGAAGTCAAGTAAATGAGCTGCTTGGCATATATTGCAGAGGATCTATTTTAAAAAGCAAAGTGGTTATTTTGTAATTTCAATCAATGAAATTTGTTTCCTATCCAAAAAAGAAAAAGCAATGTGGTTATTCATCTAGGAGAACTAGCAATATGAATAAGAAACAAACTACGAGAGGACAAACAGCACTTCTTTGGTTTTAGCTTCTTCACACCATAACAAAAAGGGGGAGATAAGAGATATAACAAAAAGAATCTCCAGTCTTTGCAGTTTCCTGTTCTTCTTTCTTATTAGAGAGAAATGTAAGCAACAACTTAACCATTACGAAACAATTGTTTCCTTTCATCTTGGTTCTCAGATATAATTTCGTGTCCATGAGTCAAAAAATGAAAAAACTCGAGAAACAAATTGTCAGCTATTAGTGCCAAATTTTCTAGATATCGTTCCAGTTTAAAATAAAAGCAAAAAAGAGAAATTTATGTCATTACTTCTATGAATGCATTACACCCATTAATCCTCTGATCCCTTAATACTCATCAATTTCAAATCAGGGTAGTACTGCACGTAAAGCAATAAGAAACGGGTATGAAAATATCGAACCTTAGTCTTCGAGAAGACGAGAGGGATGTCAGGATTCTCCTCCAGCAATACCTTAACCCTCCCCGGTGTTGCAATTACAATGTGAGGCCTCTTCAACAAACTCTGCGCCTGGTTCAACATATCCATTCCTCCAACAACCACAGAGCATCGCAAATGCAAGGAGGAACCGAGAGCCCTAAACTGCTCCGCCAATTGATAGGCCAATTCTCTAGTAGGAGTGACCACCAACGCGAAGACGCCAAAAGGGGTCTCCGAAAGGCGTTGAAGAATTGGCAATGCAAACGCAGCAGTCTTGCCACTCCCGGTCTGGGCAAGACCAAGTACGTCAAGGCCAGCCAGAATCTTCGGGATGCAGTGGGTTTGAACCGCCGTGGGCTTCCGCATAGCCAGTTCTTTGCAGGTGCGGACGATCCATTCCGACAAGCCGAGGTCGGCGAATGTAACGTTGTTGGTGGATGTAGTGGCGAGGTCTGTGGATTTCTCGACCTGAAGAGGTTTCTTCGAGGCAATGGTCTCGACGATGGTGGAAACAGGGCCGCCGGTAGGGTTTTGGGAAGGTTTATGCTTCTTCCGATGGGATTTTGCAAAAAGTGGGAAATTCTCGTCGACTGTTACCTCTTCATCCATGGAATCCGAGCTAACGAACAACAATTCCAAGAGTTTCCAGCTTTGAAAGATTTTCCAGCAAATTTTTTGTTGCTTCACTGCCAATTAGTCTCTGCTGGGGAAGGCTTGGCGCTCGGCAGCACGCGCTCAATTAGGGCAATATAACACGAAAGTCATGAACTTGGGGAGAATTTTTTTGTATAAAATATTTATCGGATAATACGAGTACTTGAATTACATCATTTTAAATTTTTAAAAAAATTTAATTTCATTCATTTCTTTTGTTTAAACACTATTTTGATCCATCAATAAACATAACTAACTCATATGGTATTATTTTTTATCAAAAATATAGTGATTTCGAATTCTCAACCTCATTTATATTAAAAAAAATATATGAACATAGTTCAATTGTCCTTTCCCTCGTCTAGAGTTTTGCTTAGTTACCAAGTGACCATTTTGGTCACTAAAATTATGATAGAAAAAATAAATAAAATTGATAGATCAAAAGGTAAAGACACCAAAATAAATATTTCAAAAGTACCTAAATTAAAATTAATAAAAGTTAAAAATATTAAATACTAAATAAAAATTTTGAAAGTAGAGGATCAGAATGAAATATCAAGATCAAAATAATATTTAACCTATTTTGGAACAAAAAATCAAGATATGAACTCTCTGCCGGAGTCCCTCAACAATCAAACACATTTTTTAGTTCAACAATTGTGAGAATAGAAATCTGACCATCGACTTCTTAATAATAATAGGTGTCTTATCCACTTGAACTATGACCGTCAAAATCAAACCATCAGCTTTAAAAATAGTAATAACTATCTTATCCACTTGAAACGAATTTATGGCACTCATGGCAGGCACCTTACCATTACATTATTCTGAATAGTTAAATAAATAGAGAATACAATACAAATAAGCATAAATCTTATATCTAAACCTATTGATGCTTTAGCCAACAAAATTATTTCTCTTATTATGCCGAAGCCGATGCGCCTTATAATCATTTGAAAGGTTCAATTGTGAATAAGCCAGGGGCCTCTGCTTGGCTCCTCCTTGGCTCTTGACTGCATTCACAAGCATCATCAAACCAAACTACAGCAGCAACACATAGAGCCCCTTCAACATCTGTGCAGTGGGGCGGGGTATACATCGAGTGGTTGGAACCGCAGTTTATCCTTATGAGGCAGCGCTCCCTCCTACACAAATATGCAACTCAATATTGACTTACCTTCAATTCCAAATGAAAGTGAGCCTAAAAGGAAAGCAAAGAATTTTGGATAATGACAGGGGGGTAAACGGGAAGAGTTACCGCATCTAAGTCTATCTGGAATGGCTTGATGAAGTCCTCGAACATGATCGGCGACAGGCCCTTCATTTTCTCTTCAACTTCCTACAAGAGGGGACAAACAAAGGGAATGATAAAATATGTAAGACTTGTGAAACCATGAAAATTCAATTTGTTGAAAATGGTTTCGATTAAAAACTCAGAAGGTGAAGAATTAAATGAAAATAAAAGCTACCAGTCTGCCACTGATACTAATAATAATGATTAAACCAAACGAAGCAATGGCTTAGAAAGTAACTTAAAGTAATAAGCTTCATAGTATTTCATAAAAATTCACCCATATTCTCAATCCCCCTTTTAAAGCTAGGTTTTTGTCCATTTATATAGGTTCCCGTGGCAATACAAGTATAAATGACCAGGATTCTCATATTCTGCTCATGTGGTGGTAGGGAACATGGTTTAATTTATTCCAGTGGCCTTTTCTTTTTTTTTTAGATAAGAAACATTTTATAGACAAAAGGCACAGAACCACAAAAAAACAGCCTAAGGGCTCTTCGCCTCCCAAGAACTAATGAAGAAAAGCTCTCCAATCTTGCAAAATCGATGAGGGACTGTAATTACAAAAGAATTTTCTATGCCTATAACACCACCAAGAAGTGTGTAACGGAACTATATTCCAGTAGCCTTTTCATCTAATCATCTTCAGTAATCAGGGACCCCTTAATCTGGATGTATACACATATATGGATCTGTGCATGCACGTGCCTGTACGTGTTTGTGTTTTAACTTTGTGTTTTAAATGTAGAACCAAATTACACTACACTTTAACGCAAGCAAGTGGATATTGACATACCAATCCAGTAATTCTAGACTTTTCCAGCAGTTCTTCAGTAATCATTTCCAGTATGTGCCTATTCTCCCTCAAACCATTCATGGCCAGTTCTTCTGTCTCCTCGATATACTGCAGAACAAATACTCAAACTTTCACAAAATATAGATATTTCATATATCAAAAGATGAGCTCTGAAGAACGGTCAAAGGTTTTCCATTTCTTTTCTTTTCTTCTTTCAACGAGTCCAGGGTTGATTTTATAACACAGAACCCATACATGTAGTTCAGAAGTAGACTGTTGATACTGTTCTTGTTCTAGACAAACAGATTATCTGCTACATTGGCCATTAATTTCACAATACACTTGCTTGTTTAGAGTTGCATTTTGAACATTTCTAATTTTGTGGTGGTGTTGGAAATCTATGGTTATGTACGGGATAGAAATGTAATCGCCCAGAAATACTAAAAATCATACAAATTCCAAGTAGGTTATGAATCTTCCCATCACTTTTTTGCTAGAAATAGTTGCATATTATCAGTTCAGTTTTATTGTATTTTCATACGATTTTAAATATCCAGCTACAAGTTGGATTCAAACAATGATGCAAATCATGTCAATATGTCATGCATGCACCCTCTTCAGAACACATTAGGATACAGTAATGGAAACTGAAGAAACTGGAAGTACCCTAGTCAACTCCCGGGAAAACAGCTCAGACAATTCGAGTGTCATATTGGCCGGAATCACTTGTGGATCATCCCACTGACACAAGAAAGAGGCAGAAGATAAGCAGGTTAATCGAGGGTAATTGATCAAAAGCAAAGAGTATCAGGTTATTTTGGCAACATTTGAACCACTAGAGAAGAAGAATACCCTGTATCTGATCAATTCTCCGTCTGGATTATCTGGTTGATCCGCCAACCCAATTCTCTTGGTTAAAGCAGTAAGCCCAAGTCTTGAATTTTGAGGACTAATGACCATCTCCCTAGCAATCTGGAAACACAAGGAACTGAAGAAGTTTAACTTCAGATAAAAATCTTTTACGTTTATCTCTGGACATGCCTGCCTTTTCAATTAAGAAATAATTTTAAGATAGGTACTTTAGAGCAAAGCAAAATACTCAGATTCCAGCTTTTTATGATTAAAATAGTTTAGAGAATCTTGTGTGCAAGAAGATAATTAAGAGGCATGACAGGAAGTTATGTTTCTTATTATCCGATATAATTATAACTTTTCAAATCTTTTATAAATAAGACTAGAAATACTGACCTTCGTTATTTTCTCTAGGTCATCCTTCCCTCCGTCAGTTATGTCATTGCCAAATATAAGCCGTTCGGCGCAGCGTCCTCCATGAGCTACCACCATTTGCATTTTCATGTAACCAAAGGTTGTGTAACCTTGGTCAACCATGTCTTCTCGCGGGAAGAAAACAGAAATTGCTGTTTCCTAATATTGAAAGACAACCATGTTAGCAGATAACATTTCCAGAGAACTAAGTGGTACGCATAATTTTTATGCCAGAAATACCACCTTGCCCCCTGGTAGAAGCTGAGAAAAGGCATGCCAATCAAAACGAGGAAACAAGTGAGCTAATAGTATATGACCAGCTTCATGTACAGCCAGTAGTCTTCTTTTGTCAAAAGAAACCTATTGTGCAGTGACCAAAAAGTAATATTAGCAACGATAATGACCAAAGTATTTGTGAAATGTCAATGAGAAGATGATGATAGATTTATACTCTTTCTTCACATTTCTGTTGCTCTTCTTCGGTGAGAAGTACCCCCATTCCCTCAAGCAGTTGTTTATCTAGGACATCAACAATGTCTTGCTGGTTGATCTTGGAACGTCCCTTTCTCACCTAGTATCCAAACGAAATTAAACATCAGAAGTGAAGAGTAAAGTGAGTCTGCTCAGAAGTGAGAAATTTCAGTACAGATAAAAGACAGAAACTTTGTGGCAACTTTGAACACCACGGCAAAATTGAAGTGACTTATACGTACACTTAGAAAGAAAAAATAAGTGAAAGGAGCCTAAAAACACCATAGTGCTGCAATGACCAAATAGATTGAAAATATACAGATGACCTGAGAGGCCTATTTGGCAACCGTCAAATACTAGTCAAACAGACTTCACAGTGTGGGAATGGGAGATGAGAAAAAACAAAACAAGAGACTTCATAGACTAGATTCTATGCTAAAAAATAATGGGTTCCATACGTAAATATTCCAGCCAAACGTACGTGTACAGAAGGGTATCTCCAACAACGTCCCAAGGGAAGAATGAAAAAGTAGTAAAATCAGAGTCATCGACAATAAATTTTATTACACTGTACAGCTCACAACCTCCTCTTGGAGTACTTTAAACACATTTTTTTGGTAACAACATCGTTTTTTTTTAATATTGATTAATAGGCACTTTTGTATTAGTTGTTTGTGGTAGACTGTTTTATTCTCTCTCTCTACGTTTTTTTTAATATATGATCTTTTTTTCTTTTTTCTTTTTCATAAAAAAAAACATTTGAAATAAAGGCTAGTTTGCAAAAATATTGTGATGGGGTCAACTCTTCTCAAAATTCTTAATTTCTCATTGTTTTTGACGGGAAAGGTCATATATTTAACTTTGTAATTTAAGGTTTCCCTCTAACTTCTATCCTTGATGTATTGTGCATTCATGGAAAAGATAGAAGCATTGCAGGTGTTAATCTAATTATTGAAATATCCTTCAGAACCAGAGAAGCTTACTCTTTTCTGCTCAAGTTATTGAAGAACAAAATGACGGTATTCACGAGACAAAATTAATAGCCTACCGACATTATTGCTGCCTCATTGACAAGGTTCCGTATATCTGCTCCAGAAAAACCAACCGTACGGAACACAAGCTGTTGAGGAAAAGACAGTGGAGATGATGAGTAGGTGAAATTCCAAAACTAATTGGAACCTTAAAGAAAAATGCAACATTAAGTATAGAGATACAAATAAAAGTAACCGAATTAAGCAAGTCAACAATGCTACAACAGATTGAGGCAGTAATATTTTAAGAAGTACCCATGTTCTTTTCTTCCCTAAACGCCCTCTCGAAAGTGTATCACCTAAACAATTCACAAAAATACCTGAATGGTCCATTTTTTGATAAGAATAACTGAATGGTCCATTGTTCTGAATAAAAGAGAATAGATGCTTTAAACCCTTTTCTGCTCATACAAAGTGGAAGATATCGATGGCAAATCAAAATATGGAAGAATAATTCCATGGTCAAGCACTCTCAAAATTAAAGCAGCAAGAAGAAAGGAACAAGATATGATGAAACAGATAGAAACTTGTTTGTTCTTTCTTTACAATCCCTAATTTTGACCTAGAATTTATGAATGTAATAATGGCAAGTGAGTGTGAGGGAAACATCACTTCTAAGTCTCTAAAGATTTATTGAACTTACAAAAGATAGTTTATATAGAAAACTTGAGAACATAACAAGTCACCGGGAGAAGTCTATTTCAGCAAATAGTGGCTAGTTCACCAAACATATACATATTATGATAATTACAGCAATTAAGGGGTTGTTTTGGAGCCGTCTTCAAAAAAGAGCTTTATGCTTTTAGATCAAAATTTTAACGTAAATATGTTAGTAAAGTTTTCCAAAATTAAATTTCTGTTTCTATTATTGTTTTAACTTAGGTTATTGTTCATTCCAAAATCATGAACGTGAGGATAGTGATTCCAAATATATGACAACATCTTTAAAGTAGTTTTAAAATTGACAGCCCCTGAAAAAGATGTTTTCCATGTCTAGTGACAAATGCTAACAAAGTAATTTTTGTTTTAAGATGTATACAAATCATAATCTTAACCCTCTAATTTCCTCTTCAACAATCGTTTTATTTCTCCTCCATCACCCTTTCAAAATAGTGCAAAGATCGCAAAGGTTGATGAATCCTGATCTTATTCAACTTGAGGAAACAGGGTCAATATTTGATCAGAATTGAGTGAGGTTTCATTGAATTTTTCAATAGCAGTGAAGACATAAAATGGACTAAACTAAAATTGATAATTCAATGGAGAGCAGCGAGAAGCTCTGCAAAAATGCATGTAAAATGATTTGTTGTTTTAATTAGAAAAGCCATATAGACAATTAAACCTCTTGAGAGATAATTAATTCCTTCCAAAAATCTTACCTACCAAAAATGATTACAAATTTTCTCATTTTGTGCATTGGAAACATAGATACACAAGTCAAAAGGATGCAAAGCAGTGTGTAAAAAGAAGAAACCAAGTTAACCTTTCTAAAATCAACGTCCTCCGCAAGTTGCTTTCCAGCACTGTGCACACCAAATATTTGCACTCTCTGCTTTGCATCTGGCAAGCCTATGTACAAACGACGATCAATACGTCCAGCACGGACGAATTCAAGGTCTAACTCATCTGGCCTATTAGTAGCACAGATGAATATCACGGCTTGTCTAAGTGAGAACCGATCAACACCAGTTTTTTCCTTCCTGATAATAACCAGACAATCAAACTAATCAACAAAAGAAGGAAATTCTAAAAATGTTTTCAAACCCTAAGTTTATGTGACTGAAATTCCTTTCTCATTGACAAAATTTTCAGAGCACAAAAAGAAAATAACCTAAAGGCCAGAGTAAAGGGAACCCCCACCATGGGAAACTATTACATGAACACGAACACCTTCCATTCTAGGTTAAACTAGATGCAAAGCTTGGCTAGGTAAATGGTCTCACTTGCTAGTTGTGTTATGCTAGTGTTATGTTCATTCCTGTTATCCTACCATAGCCATTTTGGTCATCTTATATGCTCACTCACATTGTGCAATTCAAATATAGATTACTCAAATATATTGAATGAACCAAATGGCCTCAAAAGTATAATGGAAAACACGTCCATATTGCTAGCATTTAATCAAAACACTAACTCGCCATCAAGTTGTGCAATCAAAGCCTCAAAAGTTGCCCTTCTTCTTGGATCTTTTCTCGCATGCCTTCCAGCAATAGCATCAATTTCATCCACAAAAACAAATGATGGAGCCTGCAGATACAACAAGCTGTGATATTCTTCTTGGATTTTATTAGAGTCACAAAACTTATGAAGAGACAGTGGGATTCAATAAATGCTTTCATTGATATGTTTATTGAGTAGGAAATAAGCCAAGACCAAGATTCTTCACTGAGCTTAACCACAAACCAAAATTACATCGTTGCAAGACACTCCCCAACCCCCACTCCATAAAACTTACCTGTATAGAGTTCATCTACCAATGTTCAGAAAATGAAATGTTTCCTACCAGAATGCCAATTAAGACAAGTTCATAAACGACATGTAAAATCTGGATAACTAATTCATGAATCATAACAATTGAATCAGCAATGCATAATATAACTTACTTGGACACCCATAACAATATTTGCATGTACACCATAAAAGAATAAGTTTTTAAAGACCTATAAATAAACTTGAAATGAGAATCTAAACACAAGGACTTATTTGGAAGACTATTTTCAAAACCAATTCCAGTTTTGTTTTCAAAAATGTTTCTAAGAACTATTTCAGGTGGCTTTTTATTTATTGCTCCTAAAATTACTTTTTAGAAGCAAATATGGAACCTGTAAAAATAAACTAAAAGGAAAAGGAAGAAAAACTAAGTGGTCAAACAAAACGAATCCCTTTTTTGTTCAAATAACAGGAAATTATGGTAATAAACAAAGATAATCCACGACACCCCCACATTTCTCAAAGCTTGCCAAGTGGTTAAAGAAAAAGCATAGTGGAATTTAACTAAGTGCAGGAAATATTAAAAACAGAAAAATAAAGCCATAATTTAAGGAGTGCACTTCGAAACTGCAGGTCAAAAACCAAAATGGATATCAGGTAAACTTTCATACTCATAGCCGCTCGAAGAATGGGTGCTACCCCAAGATGCTTTGGCAATTCATATTTCGGAAGGAATGGACATAGTTAGTCTACTGAGAAGTTGTCATGAAAATAATAATAATAACAATAAACACAAACTTTTTCAGGTGACATAGCCTACATTTCTTCTTGCAATAGAAAACATCTCATTGATCCTTGCCGCACCACTTTTTTCACTATCTGTGAACTCTGCCCCCGATGCAAAGACAAAGGGCAATCCACTTTCCTTGGCAAGCGTTCTCGCAAAAAGTGTTTTCCCAGTACCAGGAGGTCCAGAAAGGAGAACACCCTGTTATGCACAAAAACTAAGAAGTCAATTTCATCTCTTTATATTCTGAGAACAGGGCAACAGAACAACCCATGCTTGACCGGAATGGAAGAAGGGGAAGGAAAAGAAAAGGGGAAGATTTACCCGCACAAACTGCACCCCTTTTTCATAGTACTGCATAGGATTTTGCATATATACCATCAACTCATCAAGAAGATCCCAAACATCACCACCCAAAACTACTTCCTTGTGCATTGATGTTGTTTCACCAACATTTCCAACTGGCTGGCCAAATCAAAATGACCGAGGTTGAAAACATTAGACAAGTAACAAAGAATAGATGGTCGATAAATATATATAAACAATCTAAAGCTTTACCAGGATAAAGTTTTCTGCATACGCCATGTCAAAAAGTTGATTGTACTTTTTATAAAGAAAACGCTTAGAAGTAATACTTAGAAGCATAACAGACTCCCTAATAAGCCACAGGATCAATATTCCAGGCAGCAATGCAATCAGAACTTTGAGGAAATAATGGATCTGGCGCTTCTGAAGGAGATCAACTTCAACCCCAGAACCAGTGATAGCCTCAAACAAGTGAGGATCAAGGGGAATATCAACCTATTCAAAGTATAATAGACAAAATTAAAAACTAGGGGAACAGTGCATGGTGCCATAGTGGTCAAACAGCAAACTTACGATATATTCTAATGGAAAACCTTCTTTCATTGTTACGTACAACCTTTTCAGGTCCTCAGTGAAGACAACAGCAGCAACCTGTCCTAAGACAATCCACAGCATCATTGTAAACCAGTTAAATATAAGACCATGTATAAGAACATGTGTAGTGCTCAAATGACAATGTAAAATTTTTTACTGAGACAACAATAGAATAAACTTGATTGTGCTATTACTAGCACTATTCATTCTGTTGAACATGCAACTGATATAATTAACTCACCGATACCGATCTTATTATGCTTCCAATCAAGATTTATGAAATATAAATGCTATGTTAATAAATCAGTAACTTTTTAAACAGAATTCGTATTCTCCAAGCACACGAATTAAAAGGAATTAAGCACTAAAAAACTAGGAGAAAATGCATTTAAAAGTTGCCAGAGGCCAATAAGTATGATTTTCAGGATATGCATAACATGGGAATAAGAGCATTATACCTCAGAGCAATCAAGTTTGTCAAGAAAGTATGTGTAAGGAAGTTTAGGTCGATAACGCCACCATCTCTTAGATATCCAAAGTCCCCTTGTTCCTTGAGTATCTGTTTTTCTCTCCACCACGTCCTTACGAAGACTCTTTTCAACCTCTTTCATGTCAAATTCAACAACATATTTAGCACGTAGAGAGTCTATATCTTCAGCTAATTTCTCTTTTCTAAGGATCTCCTTCCACATTTGTAGCCTTTCACGCCACGTAGCATCGTCTTTCTGTCCTGCACTAGTCGAGTAAAGTATAAATGTTTCTGGCTCTAAAGAATGTAAAATTGAGTGTATCGCACACCATAGATGGATGTTTAACTGAAATATAGCACAATTCTCTGTGGCCTTTTGGTTGGGATAGGATCTATTTTACAGTGTTCTACTAGTGCTTAATTACCAATTTTTATGAAGGACTCAGTACCACAACTGCTCATCCTGTAGAATAATACAAACTTGATTAAACAAGTTTATAAACCAAAACAAGTCATAACACAGCAATCATGGAAGCCACTCATTCTTTCGCCCTTTCTAACTCCTACTGGAATCTCAAGTCACCGTACACTTACCAAGTAAAATATTTATCTTTAAATCATGATCTTGCCTTTTTCAAATATGTATAAAATCATATAAATACAATGTAAATAAATTAAACAAAGACATCGTTGTCATGCAGCCACTATTTATTTTTTTTTAAAAAAAAAGGATCTGGCAATCAAAATTTGTTTGGGTTCTCAATACAGTATTGATTTCAGCAAGAATGTCCTTCTAGGGAAGAAGGGAAGGAGAGGGGGAGAGTGACAGAGATTTCCTGCTTACTCAATGTAATGAGAACAAACTAGAGCAATAATATACACATACCAGAAAAGCAAATGCAGCAACAAAGGTGAATTAGAATAAACAACAAATAAACTATAAAGCACGTTGAGTCTATCTATAAACCATAACCTGATATTCCCAACTGTTCTTTTATCTTCTCCTTTTCATCACCCTTAAATTTTGCGTCACTGTCAATGATTTTTTTAACATTTTCTTGCAGAGGCTCCAAATCATCACTCCATGCATCTTCTCCAACATAAGAAGAATCTTTAACAAGGGTTCCGTCAGTTCCTTCAATAAATTTCTTTATTTTCAGACCTTTGGGCGTTGTCTTCCTCCATAAACCTTTCTTAAACCTGCACAGTGCAGTAAAAAAAGCCAATCGTGACTTACAAAGTAGTGGATTTAGCTAAGAACGACCAAAATGAAACTCACGATAGATTCCAGCACTTCTAATCAAGCAAGGTTGTCTTAATCTGTAAATTTCTGAAAGTTTCCTGAGAAGCTTAATAGAGGAAATAATCCAGTGACACTACAGAAGTTAATGTCAATTTACTCTTTCTATGCTACAGAACAAAGAATGTAATACTGTTTCAAGCTAGGTTGACTACTACTAGATTTGAAACAAATAACAATAATAATAAGCCTAAAAAAATTAGTTATTGACTTGTTGAAGCTTTGAATCAAGTTCCTTATTGAAGGAGAGGATGACACAGATGCAAACAGATTATTACTAGATACTGATATTGATCTGTATGGCCAGGGACATTATCCTCACCTTGAGAATGTTTTCACCCGTTAACCACCATAAACAAGTATTTTATTTTTACATGCACATTGGTGCATCTTGGGCTTCTTTACAAAAAAATCATGCAGCACCAATAAAAAAAATAAAACATAATATTCTGTCTTCACCAGATAACCATGAAGCTCATATACTTTTACATGCATATGGGTGCAACTTTGGCTTCTTAAAAGTATAAATAGGCAGCACAGAGTAAACAATATTCAGAAGTTGATATGCCACGTTAGAGTACAGGTTTGTATTTTAATTTTTGATATATTGCTTCGGCAGTTGAAAAAAGAAGAAAAATAAAACTGAAGCTCACTTTCTTATATTGTTAGGCGAGGGCTCAGGAATCAACGCTTCCATATAAGCCTCCGTAAGCTGTTTTCTTTGGCGATCTACAAACGGAGCTCGAACTGCCATATAAATTCTTTGACAAGAAACAATCGTAACAAAAGCATAGAGGATCAAGGCACCGACTCGTCTTGGCTCCCAGTTCTTGAGATCCTGGAATTGCAAAAGAAACAAAATATAGCACTATATAGCTTATTCAAAAAGAAATGTAGATGCAGAGAAGTTTAGAGAATCTACAGCGAAGTGTATGATTTCAAGTTTCAGCCGCAGGAGCATTTTCCATTATAAAAGTGTGAAGTTCTCTTTCATTTGTCCGAACTTGAATATCAACTCGATAGCAAAAAGTTCGTAGATAACATCATTTTATGCAATTAAAACTGCTTTAGAAAATAAAATGATGTAGAAATAATAATTCACCGTACCAATGAAAAAAGAAACAACTACTGCTTTCTTGTCAAACAAAAATGCTCTTCAAACAATTATTAAACGTCCTACCAGAACCTACAAGTTTTTATTATGGTCAATTGCCCATATGACCAGAACTTACTGAATCTTCTTGCAGTATAGGTCTAGTCAATTACCCACGTCAAAATTTTCATCTTCCGGGACGTCCTTACAATTAGTGAAGCCGTCCTAAAAGATAATCTTTCACCGAGAAGTGGTTTAAAACAAAAGTGACTAGAATAAAAAGCCACTTCAACTACATTGGAAGGTACATTTTTCAAATTTAGCATGATAACTCGATAATTTTTTTACTCGACTTCTCGACCAGAAATGAACAGAATAATGTATGATGAAATTGAAAGATTACCTTCCAGCGTTCCCAACGGTTCCAGCTTGCAAATTCCGGCAATATTTCAGTCTTAAACCTCTCCACCTCAGCTCCCAAATTCTCTAGCCGCTCATTAGCCCGCCCAAAAAATTCAACCAACTTCACATCAGCATGTTTCAAATCAAACCCAGTTTCCTTTCTCATAGACTCGCCAAAATTCAACCAAAACTTCTCGGAGCCGCGACGAACTGACCTAGTGAAACTTCGCCAAGGAAACCCGTCAGCTCCATTGCTATCAGCGGAACCTAGAACTCGAAATTTTGTCCTCTGGCGTGAGCACTTAGCTCGACGCTTGGCTGGCAGAGTGAAGAGAACGACATTTTGAGACCGTTGGACGAATGAAGTCGACGGGGAGAGAAGTTCGTTCGGTCTGCAACGAGTTCCTATATCCATCTCCGAAGAGATTGAGTTCGAATTGTGGAAGATAAGCTGAAAATTGAAATGGGATTGGTCTTTAATGGTTTCTTGGGGTTTTAGCCAGGGGTTTATATGGAACCAGCAAACACATGGACAGAGTCACTGTATTCGGCTAAAATTCACGATAAAGAAGCTAAAAAGCTTCACCTCTACAATGTTCGACCCTGAAATTCAACAAAAACTACAAACTACGAAAATTTCACGGCTCCGCTGCCATGTCTAGATGTTGTGGATGCCGTTTGCCTCGTCTTTTCCAATGTATTTTTGCCAGCAGAGGAGCTTTAGCTGCTGCTCGTAATCGACCGGACCCGCCGATAATCGCCCGGATAATTTGGATTCGATTGAACCAGCAACGCCATCCTCATCGCCTGATCCGTCCACTTTCAGCGCCCGAGCCCAGGCTGTGGCGCGCGCACTTTGGAGCCCGCTAGTCAACATGATCTTTGTTGCCTTATTGGGCCGGACATAATGGGCCAACCACCTGACGGTTGGTTTCTTATATGCAGGCCCATATTTGGGCCCAACTGAGATCTGTGCGGCAACTTTAGGCGTTTGGATAGCCATTTTGTAAGTCTACGGTTATTTATCTCTAATCTCGAGGAGTATGTAGTTATAAATTCTTCAAAGGCGATCGTGTGAATTGTTGGAAGAAATTGTGACGTCATCGAGTTGCTTTCCTGATGATAAAATTGAATATGCCTCAAATATAATGGAGATCTGTATTCGTTTTTGTAAAGGTGTTTGTTTGTGTGGGGAGGTTTATTTTTTCATCTTTATTTTGAATGTTTTAATCTATGATAAGATTCTCTTGAAGTAGGGGTTCTATTATGTCTTGTCAGTCACGTCTTATCTTTACTTTTTAAAAGTATATTCTATAGAGATAAGGTTGTTAGTCAGGGATCCTGTCCAGTCGGCCACGATATTATTCTTTGCTCTCATGTATTCAACTATTATCTTTACTATAGACTTATTGGGAATCTTCAAAACTCGTAGAAATATACTAATAAGCCTTACCCTGGATTAGAGTCATTAGAACCAATTTTATCTCTCTTAAGTCTCTTCGTTATGGACTAGTCTTCTATTTGAGGGGAGGAAATGGGAAATCACTTTTCTAACCTCCCTAGCTATCTCCCTTTTGTAAGTTTTTCTTCTTCTTTCTTAATTTTTTTTTATTTGTCATATCGTTAGTTGTTTTTTTAAGTTTATATTCACAATAAATTGTATCAATATCCTTGGTCAGCACACCGTAAATATGTTGAACTCTACCAAACAAAATTGTGTATAGCACCTCAAATAAATTTCCACTCCTACAATAGTTTTCTTTTTTTTAGTATAACATGTGGAGAGGAGGATTCGAATTCACAACCTTTCAGTTTGAGATATATTCCAATTAAGGTAGGTTCGCTTTGACCACTTCTGCAATAGTAATAGATATTTTTATTGGCCAAAACGAGCATAACTCAACAATAATTGGTACATACTTCTAATTACAAAGTTGTGAATTTGAAATTTATCTTCACATGTATTAAAAAAAAAAGATAGCTTGAGTTAAGTTAACTTTGGCCAAACACAATCCAGTAAAAATATATATTATTTTTCTAAAGTCCAGGGATACATTACAAATACAAATATTAAAATAACAAGAAATGAAGTGGAGTGGCCAAAAAATCGAACTCATCAACCAACGTAGTTCATCACAGTTCATACAATCTAGAGACTATGGATCGTGAACCTCATATCAACGATAAGAGAAATCTATGATCAAACCCACAAACCGATATTACCCATTCGTTCATCATTGTTCTTCTCGTCCACATCTCCTCCCATCAATCAATCTCTTTTTTCCTCCACCAATCATCAATCTCCCATTTCTTCTTCATAAACTCTCTAAATCGCTCAGCTCTCCGTTTGTCACACCACACCCACTCTCCACTCTCTCTTTGTTGCGTCCATCAATGGCTTCCGCAGCTTCCCGTGCCACTTTCCATCTCCTCCCCACCACATCTTCCTCCACTTCGTCAACCCGCGCCGCCCTTCTTCAGTTCGCGCCCGCCACTTCCTCTTCCTCAATTCGCCTCCGCAGCGCCGCCACTCAGCGCCTAGGCTTCGCCGCGGCAGACCCACTTTTCTCCCTCCACGTCGCTTCCAAGATTCGGCCGTTTCGGGGCAAGGCTTCGAGGGGTGTGGTGTCCATGGCGAAGAAGAGTGTTGGGGATTTGACTACCGCTGACTTGAAGGGGAAGAAGGTGTTCGTGAGGGCCGATCTGAATGTTCCCTTGGATGAGAACCAGAATATTACTGATGACACCAGGATTAGGGCTGCCGTCCCTACAATCCAGTATTTGGCCGAGAAAGGAGCTAAAGTCATTCTGTCCAGCCATCTGGTGAGTGTACTTTCGGGACTTCTAAGTTCGGCTTTTGTTCTGTTATATCAGGAAGTTGATTAGTGAATCTGGAAGACGGTAACTATTAAGCTGTTTCAAGTGGTTGTTGGCTTGGTTACTCGTCAATTTCCCAATTGGACATCTCTCGGTTAATGGAATCTGTAAAGTGAAGGGTTCGGCGATGTAGCTTTGATGGTACATTGCATCATGCATGTAGTGGCAAATGGGTTTATGGGTTTTTTAGCCTTTGACTACCAATCATCCAAACTTAAGAACAGGGTCAAATTATTCTTTTTACCATAAATAGAGTGCTTAAAACCTAGTGTTTATGCTGTATAAGCTTGTGATTATCTTGTTCATGATGGGTTTTCCAGAGACATTGCATGTAGTGGGAAATGGGTTTCTGAGTTATTGACCATTAAGCAATCCAAATTGAAGGACAGGGTCAAATTATTCTTTTTACCAATAAATAATTTGCTGTATAAGCTGGTGATTATGTTGTTAATAATGGATTTTTCAGGGACGTTGCATGTAGTGGGATTTTTGAGTTATTGACCATTAATCAATCCAAACTTAAGAACAGGGTCAAATTATTCTTTTTACCAATAAAGAGAGTGCTTAAAATCTACCGTTTATGCTGTATAATCTGGTGATTATGTCGTTCATGATGGATTTTTTCAGGGACGACCGAAAGGTGTGACTCCAAAATACAGCTTGGCACCTCTTGTGCCTAGGCTTTCTGAACTCCTTGGCATTCAGGTACCTTTTTCCTCATGATCTGAAAGAAGGGTTTCCTTTTCTTTTATTTGGCCTCCATTAAGGTCACATCTGAACATTTCTGTGAGTCATATCCCATCAGGTTGTGAAGGCTGACGACTGTATCGGTCCCGAGGTTGAGAATTTGGTTGCTTCCCTGCCCGAAGGTGGAGTCCTCCTCCTTGAAAATGTGAGATTCTACAAGGAGGAAGAGAAAAATGAACCTGAGTTTGCAAAGAAGCTTGCTTCTCTAGCTGATCTATATGTGAACGATGCATTTGGAACTGCCCATAGAGCTCATGCTTCAACCGAGGGAGTCACTAAGTTTTTGAAGCCATCTGTAGCTGGTTTCCTCTTGCAAAAGGTTGGTTCCTTTAATCGACATTCGATCTACTTGTTACCTGAAAAAGTATCATATATTTCTTCACATGATTTGCTTTTTTGTTTTCGATGATCTTGAATTATAACTGGTAATTGGTTTCAGACTGCTCATAACCCACGAACCTCAGACTACCCAAATAATTGCTGGCCTGATGTTTATATTGTTATTACTTTACCAATGTCTAATGATCTTTAACCCCTGCGGGTTCTTGCTTTAGGAACTTGACTATCTAGTTGGGGCTGTGTCAAGCCCAAAGAGGCCATTTGCTGCCATTGTTGGTGGTTCAAAGGTGTCGTCAAAGATTGGAGTGATTGAGTCACTTCTGGAAAAATGTGACATCCTACTCCTCGGCGGTGGAATGATCTTTACATTTTACAAGGCACAGGGACTTTCCGTGGGTTCTTCTTTGGTGGAAGAGGATAAGCTAGATCTGGCAACCTCCCTCCTCGCAAAGGCCAAGGCGAAAGGAGTGTCCCTCTTATTACCTACCGACGTTGTCATTGCAGACAAGTTTGCTCCCGATGCAAACAGCAAGGTTTGTCTGTAAATCTTGGTTCTTAGATCCATTTCTCAGACCAATGCAGTGCTATTGAAACGAATTTGATTGATATATATAGTGGCTTTAACCAAACTACCCATAATTTTCAACTGATTTTGCATTTTTTGGAAACTGTGGAATGCTCTATGGAGCAGGGAAATAAATAACTTAAATTTGCATTGCAGATTGTCCCGGCATCTGCCATCCCTGATGGATGGATGGGATTAGACATTGGACCAGATTCTATAAAGACATTCAATGATGCTTTGGACAGTACCAAAACTATCATCTGGAATGGACCCATGGGAGTGTTTGAATTCGCCAAGTTTGCAGTCGGAACAGAGGTAAGGCACCAATTATCTGTGGTGCCAATAAAAACGAACTTTTCATTGATGTCATTTTCGTACTAATATAGCCTAATAGATATTCGTTAAGTGAGAATTTGTGTGTGGGGGGGGGGGACTGTCACTCTTCTAACATGACATTCATGTTTCAACAACATGCCTTCCCCTATTATTGGGGTGGCCTTGATATGCCGACCTTCATATATTTGTGACAACACTGTGACCCGATGTGCGATCTCGAACATTCACGGTACTCTTAAGGACCTGCCTTGTTTGGTCCATCTGGTAGCATGACATGATTAGAGACATGAAAGCCAATACTGTTCAACTCGTGCACAGCATGTATAGCAGATGTGTTTATATGGTCACAGCATCAATCTGAAATATGCACTTGATTGCAGTCGGTAGCCAAGAAACTAGCGGAGCTCAGCGGAAAGGGGGTGACGACCATCATTGGAGGTGGAGACTCGGTTGCAGCTGTAGAGAAGGTCGGAGTCGCAAGCGTCATGAGCCACATCTCGACCGGTGGTGGTGCTAGTTTGGAGCTGTTGGAAGGCAAAGAGCTTCCCGGTGTCCTTGCTCTTGACGAAGCCGTACCTGTTGCCGTGTAGGAAACGGCTTATTCGTTTAATTTTTTTTTTCTTCTCGCGTCGCTATTGGATGCTTAAATTACGTCGTGTAACAGAGAAATATATTGTTGTAGAAGAAGATGAGTTTTCGTTGTAAAAGCAGTGATCTCGAAATGTTGTTCCCTTTCTGGTCTCTCCGCATTTGGCTTCCTTGCCTGCTGTGAACAGGCTATGGGACAACCTTTTTTAAGAGCTGTAATAAATTTGTGCATGAATCTCCACTTTCCTCTTACTTTCTCTCCGAGACAATAACCAGAACTACTTGAGAATCTGCTTGAGTCTGAATTTTTCATACAAGTGGATTGGTAAATGATTAAATTAAATTTCAAGACTTTTTACATTTTTGTTCATTTTATCTCAACGTGACATGTGTTAATTATTTGTTATTGTAAAAAAAAAACCATGTCAATTATTAATAGTTAAAAAACTCATCGCACACTACTTGCAATAATATGAAAATGCTTAAATTGTCACTGAAATAATAATGTAAATGATTAAATTAAAAGGACAAGATGGAGAGTGAAAGTTTGTCTCTATGAGTAGTGTGGTGTGCAATAATATGAAAATGCTTAAATTGTCACTGAAATAATTATGTAAGTGATTAAATTAAAAGAGCAAGATGGAGAGTGAAAGTTTGTCTCTATAACCACTTTTATGTAAAATACAAATATAGATTAACTTGATTGTTTTTTTAGTAGGTAAAGTCTAATTACTTTAAATTAGTTAAATTATTTCATTTCATAATATTATTTGAAATAATTAATGTGACTATCGTAATCATACCGGTGGATGCAAATAACACCGTTGTTGTTACTATATAAATTATTGCAATTTGGTAATAGGTTTAGCATTAACTCAATGTCCGTGTCAATACTAAGTTACATAAATGTAACCAATTACTATAAATAAATCATAGACATATCTAGTAATTCATAATTAAGAGACTTTTCTTCTAAAAGAATAATTAAGAGACTTTTGTTTTTTTAAAAATGAAGAAATAGAAACAACAGACTTAAAGGAATTCAATTACTAATGATACTTATATCAAACAGTTAGAATTTAATTTAATTACATAAGGTGCGGTAATTCCTTGATAATTCTCACGTGCAGACAAGTCAAAAGGCACGTGCTAGGTGGCTATTGGAAGAGTTGAAAATGGACTTGTCTTTTTCCAGCCAAAATATGAGCACGTGCGTATCATGTGGGGGTTGTTTCCGATCGCACCAACCCACCTCTACCAACCAACCGCCGGTCGTCGTCGGAGCCGAAAACGACTGCCCTTGCGTGACCTTTACGCGGCGGGCCATTCGCATAATAAAATAATATTTTTTTGTATTTATTAGACTAAAAAAAGTTACTATTATCCGACGTGGCGTTATTTTTCTCGGTAACGGCAGTCGGAACCGGCGGTGCGCCACCTAACGCGTCAATAGTAACGCCTTGGCCTATTAAAAAAATACCAGAGGCTGCAGAGTTTGAAAAGCGCCATTTCGCTTCCTTCTTCTCTGCTAGGGTTTTTTGAGTGTCCTTATTCGTTTGCGTTGTCGATCGTCTGAAGAAGCTCTACGACGATGGCCGTCTCCTCCTTCGTTTGTAGATCTGCCATTTCCTCTTCTCTTATCGAAGCCTCTCGCTCCGAGTTGTCGCCGTCCGACGGCCTGAAGGTTGGTCATTTTTTTCCCTCGATCGTTTCTTGTTCTTTTGCTTTTTTAAAAAAACTAACTATCGAAATCCTAGTTGTTAACTGCATCATGAAAAATATTCCACTTGCTCGTCTGCTCCAATGCAGATGAATACATTTGTATGGGGAGAGGAAGACGGCGAGGAAATTTATTGTATTGGGATTTTTTTTATTATATCTATTGGTGTTAATTTCGGCTTCTTTAGATGTATTTGTGTTCTTATTACTGGATCTTTAGGTTGATTGGTCTCTCTTTCTTTAACTTGTTGTGTTCTCATCTTGCTTGCACACGTCGTGTTTTTTTGCTCATGTCTGCAGGCTTCATGCGCGAACTCTTCGAAGCTTCAATCTAGCATTTTTGGTTCTAGTGTCTCGAGCGGGTCATCTTCTTTACAGTTAAGGTGAACCTCAGCCATCTGGATGAATTTCATATGTTTTCATGTTGC